ATAGACGGTTAAAGACACCACAGCGATCAGTTTTCATTTTGACTTTGTCTCCTCAAATCCATCTTATCTGACATCCGCTCACCAATTCCTCACCTTAGAATGACATTCAGTTGTGATCTGTGCCAAAACCTTTTTGGGAGCAGCACTGAATTGTAAATCTTCCTCGTGTATGAGTTGTGTCACAAAAGTTATCTTTCAAACGCAAGCTACAAGAAAAGCCCAAGAGTTGAGCACACTTTGCCATCCTTCTCTACCACTTCTTGCAGTCCTGGAAGGACTCTTTCAGGATTCTCTGTAGCTCTGTCATCAGAGCCATCTTGATGTCATCCACATCTTCAAAACGGGTCACCTGATGAGATCCTTGTGCTTTGAAAAGAGGGTAAAAAAAAAAAATCCACATAGAGCCATGTTGGGTGAGTAGATCCCCTGGATTACACTGTCAAACGCCTTTTCCATGTCCGCAAACCACGTGTCGACTGGTTGGGCGAACTCCCATGCATCCTTGTCTCACAGTTGTCACTGGGTGGTCCCACCGCACTACGGTTCACTTACATTACGAAATGTCCTTCCATACCTATTTGTCATGTCCTTGTTTATGATGATACTAATGCAGCGTGTTGTACCGGAGACAAACTCCTTGTGTGTTCTACATACTTGGCCAATAAAGATGATTCTGATTCTGATTCTGATCCTCGAGTACCCTTCTGATGGTGTAGAACTGGTTCAATGCTTCACAGCCAGGAGGAAAACCACACTGCTCCTACCGAATCTGAGATTCATTTTCCTAATGGACTCTCCTCTCCAGCACACGCGAATAGGAGAATAGGCCAGGGAGCAAGAGCAAGCAGAGTGGAGAGCTCCAAAGGAGCAATGGCACTGGACATTCACCACCACAACATCAACGTAATTACCATATTTTCCGCACGATAGGCACACCTAAAAGAATTTAAAATTTCTCAAAAGCCGACAGTGCGCCTTCTAACTGGATGCACCTTATACTGTATATGGTGTTACAGTCTCTTTTTACTCCCCATTAAGTTGTTTCCCTGTAAGTGTTCCTATACCACCTAGTGGTGATTATTAGCCGCAGCCGATTGTAACGTAAAATTGGTCTGCCCAACACAAACTGACATGTGCATTCGCCAACCCACACTCAAACAGACAACTACTTTGTGCAGCCATTATGAAACAGACACAATACCAAAAGCATAATTCACTTCTGACTAAACGAAGGAAGAAGGAGACAAGCAAGACTTCGAAGGATATTTAGCCCCTCGTGGATGTGAGGCCACGAGGTTTGTATGCTTCTTTATAGAATCAATTGTCTCCAGAGCGTTTGTCTTTCATATTTTCTAGATTAAAGCTTTGAAAAGTGCATGTGTGTCTGTGTAAGGGATTTTGTTGCTGCATAGAAAATCAGCATCATCTGTGTGGCTCACTCAAGTTCTGATTTATGGCCATGCTCCACTTGCCCAAAAGCCTTGACCTTACCCTTGGGCAGAGCTCTGCTTCTTTTCAATTTTTATTTAATTATTACAGAAGCTGTCTTGTTTAAAAACCACAAGTGAATAGTCGAGATTCATTTGTTTGGAAAGGCAAAGTTGCTGCATTGGTGTTTTCTTGTTTCCACCATCTGTCCTCTTTAGCCAGTATAGCGTATGTAGCAAGTACTGCTGTCCTTCATTTGAACCTTCATGTCAGCTCCTCTGGGAATCCCAGCTGTGCTGGAATGGCGGTGTTAACTAATATGTAAGTCAGACCCTTTTTGCTGGGCTGTACCAAAAGTGACCTGCAGGCTGCAGTTAAGTTGTTATTTTAACGTCGACCATCCTCCTCTGTCATAATTGTGGCGAGGTCCCGACTGCATCACGCGCATGCCTTTTGACAGTGTTCATCACTCATCTAAGATTATTTTTGTCTGTGAGATATACAGGCTTGTTTCAATGATGTCAGCAAACCGAAGGACATGGCAGAAGAGACTCTCGGGTGCTACATTAGTATTTAGTGTGGCTGCACTTGAGCAAAAACCCCCCAAAAAAACCCAAAAACAAAAAAACAAAAACAACCCCGCAGTATTGTGATTTTTGTGCCGACTCAAACGCTTGTTTGGGAATTCGGTTTATCTGTCATGCAGGGTGTTCCAGCGTACTAAGGGCGTTTGCTTTGATTTGCGGCTGGCACATCTGACAGTTTGGTGCCTGAAAGTAGACGAAACTTGCCTGCTGGAACCACATCAAAATATTGACGCAGATAGTATAAAACAATGTCAATCATTGTATGTGGTCTTTTATTATTAATCCTAATTTCGATTTTTGTATCAGACGTTTGTTGGGGTTGTCTTTTCACGACAAGCAATTTTCAATTACTGTCTATTTATCCTTGCCTTTTGCAAGTGCTGTTGGTTTGTCTCATTTCCCTGTTTGTCATCACCAGCATCAGTCTTGCGCATTTTTGTCAATACACTATTTTTGTCCAAATTCTATTAGAGTCCACTGTTGTCCGATTCTGTTCCGGAACCTTCATGAACCATTTCAGCCGGTCAAACATAGAACCATAGCAGTAAATAAAGTATGTATGAGCAGTTGAGGATGAAGTGAACACCAGCATAATTAACTGTCAACAAAAATAAGCAGCAGCATTTTATTGCATTGTCTTCACATGGAATAACATTCCAATTAGGAAAGACACCCACAATATCTAGTATCAGCAGCTGAGTGACAACTGCACATGAATGAATGCTATACAAACAGCTGTTTTGTCCTATAGAGCCTCCCTTTTATTTTTAAGTATGTTGTTCAACTATAAAGTGTATGTTTGTGTATATGTTGGCGTGAACCAATGCACCTCCCACATGGATCCTGGAAAAATGCCAACGCGCGTGCACACACACACACACTCACACACACACACACACACACACGCACACACACACACACACACACACACGCACACACACACGCACACACACACGCACACAGTTGCATGAGTGAAAGGGTTCTTCATTTAAAGGGGGAGTTTGCAGTTTTTCTACTGTGAATTGAATGTCGCCTCATGCCATTTAATCTTCATAAAGTCTGATTTAAAGCCTCTCACTGACATGCACAAATGATTCTGAAACATGGCTTTTCACAATGATGTGCTATTAAAAGTTTGTCGTTGTGAAAAATCATCACAGAGAACACTGTTCAGCTTCAAAAACATAGCAGTGGTAGCAATACTAAGCTAGCATTTACACTAAACAAGGATCTCACGGTTGGTGGTAGCACGGCTTATTTGCATTAGTGTGACCAAATGATTGGATGTTTTGTTTTTTGGAATGTAGAATCAAATTAAAATCTAAAAAAGGCAATTGTCCCTGTTACTTTTGCCTTCCTAAAAATGTTGGGTTTTGTCACCCAAAAGGCTGTCGCCTAAGGCTATGTTCACACTGTAGTTAGTCATGATTTTGTTGCCCATATGTGACATGTATCTGATTTTTTTTTCATGCATTGTGAACACAACAGTTTCAATTATTTCAAATCTGACCTGGGCCTCTTTCAGATGTTGACATAAATTGGACATGTGCGTGATCTGTCTGCAGTATTAAAGTTCATCTATCTACATCCAACCTATACGCAATCAAAATCCCGATATGTGCGCCGCGCTGGTGGAGTAGAGTGCTTAGGAGGGTGACTACTAAGAATCCTCTGTGAATTTGAAAATTTGTTTTCAGTAACAGTGTTGAGTAACTGTTAAGGTAATATTCCTCTCTGTTAGTTGGATTTGAAAGGAACAAAGAATGTAGAATGTTGTTGGAGGTATTTCCTGCTCACTGTGTTTACGATCACCTTTAGTGCACCTCGACCCCCACCACTTTTAGGGCCCCCCTCCATAGGACATTTTTAACATCAAAAGAGGAACTGTTATTTCAAGTATCTGTGTTTCTGCCATCACACCAAATGGTGGGTAGTGGTGGTCTGGTCTCACCTCACCACTCCTAACTTCTTCCAGTCACACCGGGTCAGATGACATGTTACTTTCTTTGTTTCCGGGATTTGCATGAGAGGCGTACCTCCCCGCCTCTCATTATCATATTCTCTCTATATAATCTCATGAATGTGTGTCTTTTACACGTCCTGATTGAAATCTGGACCCCTCAGGAGCTCGAATCGATTTGTAAACTGCAGAAAATAAATTAAAACCCTTCGAAGGAACTGTACATCGCCTCCAGCCTTTATTTGGATTACCAACATTCTCCTCGTCCGAAATTCAACGAACACGCGGGGAAGAGGAGGCCGCTCTTCCCTCAAAATAACACATGCTTCTTGCATCATGGACGTGTTGCATTCACATTAAAAGTTTTATTCTTATTCTTATTATTTTGTTGTAATGTGAATGAGTAACATAAAATGATCAGATTTAACACCAATTCCGAATTTGGCATCACGCCATCCAATGCGAACGTAGCCCAAGTTGGTTTTGCAATCCGGATGGAAGTACAGTATGGAAATAGTAATGCTACTTGATGCTTTTCTTGAAAAGCTGAAATGTTCATCTTTTGTCCCATATTTTTTTATGTTAAATTAAAATGTTTTCGATCTTAAAAAAAAAAAAAAGTATAGGAAATGTCAACCACTAAATTATTGATGCCCATTCATCTTGTTATTTTACACATCACACCAATGCAAATAATTGCCACAATAACATAATATTTATTAAGGAAACTGCAAAAGGGATTTTTGTATGCAACTCTTATATTGGATCGATTTTGGGGAGCTACGTCAAAAGAACATTGGAAAGGTAATGCCTCTAGTCAGATGACATAGAAAGGATTTTGGATCAGTTTATGTTGCTTTGTTGTCAACTGAGTTGCCTTTGTTGTGTGTCTGAACTTAAATGCTTATGCTCAGTCATTTTCTTATCACTGTGCCATGTGAGTGACCAGACACAATCAAAGTGCTGGTCTGAAGTTGCTTCACCAGATAGATAATCATGTTCTCTTGGGTTATTTATGTGCTTAGGTATTAACACAGCTGATTTATCCAGTGGACGCCATCCAGTGATAACCGACAGGGCTCTTCTTCATCCTCCTCACCACCACATTCCCCCTCATGTCAACTCTCCCCCACTGGTAGGCAATCTCTCGCATCCTCATCTTAAGCCCCCTTTCCACTGCGGGAACCGTGATAATCACTATTCGATTGACAATGAATTGAATTGTTTTGTGTGTGTGTGTGTGTGTGTGTGTGTGTGTGTGTGTGTGTGTCTGTCTGTCTCTCTTGAGAGAGACAGAGAGAGACAGAGAGAGAGAGAGAGAGAGAGAGAGAGAGAGAGAGAGAGAGAGAGAGAGAGAGAGAGAGAGAGAGATACACACATACATCCACCCATCCATTCATTATCCAAATTGGTTATCCTCATAAGGGTCGCAGGCATGCTGGAACCTATCCCAACTGTCTTTGGGCAATAGGCGTGGTAGACCCTGAACTGGTTGCCAACCAATCGCAGAGCACAAATAGCCAAACAACCATGCACACTCACAATCACAGCTATGGACAATTTAAAGTGTTCATATAACCCACTAGGCATGTTGTTGGGATGTGGGAGGAAATGGGAGAACCCGGAGGAAACACAGGCAGGCATGCAACATTCAAATTCCACACAGGAGGCCTGGATTCAAACCCCCGACCTCTGTACTGTAAATCCGATGTGCAAACCAGTCAAGTGTCCGTCTGTCTTTGCAGCATGGTATAGAAGTGGTTAGAACATCTGCCTCGCAGTTCTTTTGCTTTGGATTTGAATCGTAGGTGCTCAGGCTTGCTCCATCATTCCAAAATCATACAAACATAGGACGGAAAAGACCAGACAACTATGGCCAAATATATATCATATCGATTTTTTTTTTAGTTAGTTTCAATTTTTAAAAGCATATTTGGTATTGAGTAATCCACAAGTGATTACAAATTACATTACCCGGTACTTTGATATTATGGTATTATAGGGATTACATTACTATAAAGACATTTTATAACAGGTAACTAGTAACTGTATCGGAATATCTTGCTTACATTGAGGCTTTGTGCCTAGCTACACTGAAAACAGTACACTGTAACATCTTCCGAATTTAACGAGTGTAAACAGTAAAAATTCATGTTTATTTATTTATCAGTTTTCAATTGCCTTATTGAAATAAAGGGTAGATCAAAAAAAAGTATATGTAAGCAGCAACCCTTTCATTCTGATTTTCACATTTTAAGACACATTGAAATATTGATTTTTATATTTAAAGTTATCTGTTTTATAAGATATACATTAATACACTAACTTTAAAGGTCACTGTTGGAAGCATGGGCGGCACGGTCGTTGACTGGTTAGCACGTGTGCCTCACAGCGCAGAGGTTGTGGGTTCGATTCAGGCCCCAGCCCTCCTATGTGGAGTTTGCATCTTCTTCGTACATGGGTTTTCTCCAGGTACTCCGGTTTCCTCTCACATTCCAAAAACATGTGGGGCAGGTTAATGGAACACTCCAAATTGTCCTTAGGTGTGAGTGTGAGTGCAAATGGCTGTTCGTCTGTGTGTGCCCTGCGATTGGCTGGCAACCAGCTCAGGGTGTCCCCCGCCAACTGCCCGCTGACAACTGGGATAGGCTCCAGCATGCCCGCGGCCCTTGTTAGGATACGCATTTCTAGGTAATGGAGTGATGGATGAATGCCTGAAGCATTTTCTGTTAACTATAATGATGTTTAAGAGCCTTCAAGTGTCAGTAATTAGTCATGAGGTAACACAGCATCAGTGTCGTTTGCGCCACCTACACTGAACTATGAGATGTGGTGGAAATGCAAACCACCTGGGTCACAGGAACTTTGTATGACTTGGAATTTATATTACCAGGAACTGAACGTTCCTGGGATTCTTGGTTCAGGAAACTGTATTATAATAGTGAACATGCAACTTTGTCCTTTTGACTTACATCAAATTAAAAATGAAAGGCAGGTTAAGCAGTGAATATACTATCTGATGCACCTCTATAAATCTTCAGGCACCTTATTCACTCACCTTTCCACTCTCTTCCCTTTACATCTTCTACATCAGACGCCTCTTTCAGGTTCAGCCAGCATGCTGACTCTCCAACTACTACATTTGAGCCTGCCAACTTTCCTGTTGCTGCTGTCACCATGGTAACCCCGCTGACGTTTGAGTGACAGAATCGGGGACTGAGAAGCAACCACGTCCAGTGTGTGGTTGTTTAGTGCTTAAAACGTCTTTGAGCACAGTTCGGCCACTCATTTTTAGTTTGTTCCCAATAATGATAATTGATGGTGTTTTGCTGATGACGATGATGATGATAATGATGACGGAAGACGAACTGTTGATTCAAGAGTGTGAGCATTTTATATTACCTGCACTGACCGCTGCGTGTGTTCACTTGGATTTAACTCTCCTAGCACACTTTGTAGATGGCACAGCACTACTTTTTTCAAGAGGTGTAAATACAAATCTATATATTATATATTTATAAAAAGAGTTTATGTAGATTAATTTTCTGTAAATAGTGCATAATATAGAAGACAGCAGACTGACATGTAGACATTAATTGCATTTTTTTATCACTCATTGATATGATCCATGACAGCTACAGTTTGTAGTCATAGTTGTATTATTACAGTAGTAGTATAATATATTATAGTAGTATAATGTAACAGAGACTCCAACATTGCTATGAAATGATGTGCTAAATAGGCAAAACAGACACTCACAGTGCCTTTCCACTTATGTCACATAATTTGAAATAAAAAAGCTGTTGACAAAATGCCAACTACAATTTTCTTTACCAGCATGATGATTGCTTGAATGCTTCTGTAATGGTGGATACACAGGCCTTTTACTTTTACTTTATCCTCTCCAACAAGTGCCATCTGGTGTAAGACAAAATGTTTTCCTTTTGTTGTCATACAATATGAATATACAGTAATGCCTATTTTTGCCACAGTTTTATATAGACATATTGGCATCCCTTTTCACAAAGTTAAAAACAATTATACATAGATATAGGGATTCCGGGTAAGAAACAGCCATCTGCCTGCGACTGGTTGGCAACCAGTTCAGGGTCTCCCCCGCCTACTGGCCGAAGACAGTTGGGATAGGCTCCAGCATGGCCTACGACCCTTGTGAGGATGAAGCGGATTTGAAAATGGATGGATGGACACAGCCATCTGCTTGACAAGTTGGGAGAGATTACATTTGTCGTGCAAGTTTTTCCCACCCAAATGTGATCAATTTTATCAGCTTGTCCTATTTGATCATGTAAACTGCATGTTATTCACATTAATTAGCACTTCCGGCTCTTTGTTGAGTTTCTCGCCCCTGCCCAAACTGCACAGCAGAATACTGATGAATATGTTCAAAAGGCTGCAAGTTAACCCGCTGAAGGACACTTTGTCAGTGGGTGACAGACTTTCCTCTTAAATCACGCTGTTCTAAATGCATTAACATCCTTATACAAAGAATGCCTATACATTTTTTCATGTAGAATCAACTCTGCTCCAATTCGTTCCTTTGCCTGAAAATCAACCTGTCAATAATTATTAAAAAAAAAAAAAGAATAATACATTTCTGGCTCTGACTAAATCAGCCCATGTTAGCATTTCATTTGATGTACTGGTTCACACATAGGTAAAGTGTTATATGTTGGATTCAAACCACACATCTTTTGCCTGGCAACTTAATAAATAAAATGTTGGGTGCAGTGTGTGCTGGGCGGCAGCCAAAGGCGGAGACCCTGGCGGTCCGATCCTCAGCTACAGAAGCTAGCTCTAGGGAGTTCCCACTAGATATAGTCGGACTTGCCTCCACACACAGTCTGGGTTCTGGTATCAGTTCTCTCGAGAGGGGTTGGACTCTCTTCCACTCTGGAGTTGCCCACGGTGAGAGGCGCAGAGCAGGTGTGGGCATAAGCATTGCCCCCCGGCTCGGTGCCTGTACATTAGGGTTCACACCGATAGATGAGAGGTTTGCCTCCCTCTGCCTTCGGGTGGGGGGACGGGTCCTGACTGTTGTTTGTGCGTACGCACCCAACAGCAGCTCAGCGTACCCACCCCTTTTGGAGTCCTTGGAGAGTGTGCTGGAGATTAATCCTGCTGGGGACTCCCTTGTTCTGCTGGGGGACTTCAATGCTAACATGGGCAATGACAGTGAGACCTGGAAGGGTGTGATTGGGAGGAATGGCCCCCCGATCAGAACTTGAGGTGTGTTTTGTTATTGGACTTCTGTTCTCGTCACGGATTGTCCATAACAAACACCTTGTTCAAACATAAGGGCGTCCATATATGCACTTGGCACCAGGACACCTGAGGCCGCAGTTTGATGATTGACTTTGTGGTTGTATCATCGGATTTGCGGCCGTATGTTTTGGACCCTTGGGTGAAGAGAGGGGAGGAGCTGTCAACTGATCACCACCTGGTGGTGAGTAGGCTCCGATGGTGGGGGAAGATGCCGGTCCAACCTGGCAGACCCAAACGTATTGAGAGGGTTTATTGGGAGCGTCTGGCGGAATCCCCTGTCAGACATGTTCCGTGCCTCTTTTGTTGAGGCGGCCAATCTGAGTTGTGGCCGTAAAGTGGTTGGTGCCTGACGTGGCGGCAACCCCTGTACTCGCTGGTGGACACCAGCAGTAAGGGATGCCGTCAAGCTGAAGAAGGAGTCCTATTGAGCCTTTATGGCCTGTGGGACCCCAGAGGCAGCTGATGGGTATCGACTGGCGAAACGGAAGGCAGCCTTGCTGGTCACCGAGGCAAAAACTCGGGTGTGGGAAAAGTTCAGTGAGGCCGCGGAAGCCGACATCCGGACGGCTTCGAGGAAATTATGGTCCATCATTCGACGTCTTGGGAGGGGGAAGCAGTGCACCACTAACACTGTGTACAGTGGGGATGGGTCGCTGATGACCTCGACTCGAGACATTGTAAGTCGGTGGGCTGAGTACTTCGAAGATCTCCTCAACTCCACCAACACGCCTTCCTTGGAGGAAGCAGAATCTGGGGACTCTAAGGTGGGCTCTCCTATCTCTGTGGTTGAAGTCACCGATGTGGTTAGAAAGCTACTCGGTGGCAGGCCCCCAGGGGTGGATGACATCTGCCCGGAGTTCCTCAAGGCTCTTGATGATGTGGGGCTGTCCTGGTTGACACGCCTCTGCAGCATCGCGTGGTCATCGGGGAGAGTGCCTCTGGATTGGCAGACCAGGGTGGTGGTCCCTCTGTTTAAAAAGGGGGACCGAAGGGTGTGTTCCAACTACAGAGGGATCACACTCCTCACTCTCCCTGGTAAGGTCTATTCAGGGGTGCTGGAGAGGAGGGTCCGTCAGGAAGTCGAGCCTCAGATTGAGGAGGAGCAGTGTGGTTTTCATCCCGGCCATGGAACTGTGGACCAGCTCTACTCCCTCAGCAGGGTCTTCGAGGGTATGTGGGAAATCACCCAACCAGTCTACATGTGCTTTGTGGACTTGGAGAAGGCATTTGACCGTGTTCCTCGGGGAGTTCTGTGGGGGATGCTTCGTGGGTATCGGGTACCGAACCCCTTGATAGGGGCTGTTTGGTCCCTATACTACCGATGTCAGAGTTTGGTTCGCATTGCCATCAGTAAGTCAGAATCGTTTCTAGTGAGGGTAGGACTCCGCCAAGGCTGACCTTTGTCTCAGATTCTGTTCATAACCTTTATGGACAGAATTTCTAGGCGCAGCCGAAGCGTTGAGGGGATCCATTTTGGTGGCCTTAGTATTGCATTTTTGCTTTTTGCAGATTATCTGGTACTGTTGGCTCCTTCAAGCAGGGCTCTCCAACTCTCGCTGGAGCGTTTCACAGCTGAGTGTGAAGCGGTTGGAATGAAAATCAGCACCTTCAAATCTGAAACAATGGTCCTCAGTTGGAAAAGGGTGGAGTGCTACCTCCGGGTCGGGGAGGAGATCTTGCCCCAAGTGGAGGAGTTTCAGTATCTTGGGGTCTTGTTCATGAGTGAGAGCAGGAGGGAGCGAGAGATCGACAGGTGGATCAGTGCAGTGTCTGCTGTGATGTGGACTTTGTCGTGGTAAAGAAGGAGCTGAGCCAAAGGACGAAGCTCTCAATTTACCGGTCGATATACGTTCCAACCCTCATCTATGATCACGAGCTATGGGTCGTGACTGAAAGAACGAGTTCCCGGATACGAGCGGGCAAATGAGTTTTCTCCGCAGGGTGTCCGGGCTCTCCCTTAGAGATAGGGTGAGAAGCTCGGTCATCTGGGAGGGGCTCGCGGTCGAGCCGCTTCTACTCCACATCGAGAGGAGCCAGATGACGTGGCTTGGGCATCTGATTAGGATGCCTCTGAACGCCTCCCTGGTGAGGTGTTCCAGGCATGTCCTACAGGCAGGAGACCCCGGGGACGACCCAGGGCATGCTGGAGAGACTATGTCACCCAGCTGGCCTGGGAACGCCTTGGGATCCCCGAGAAGAGCTGGAAGAAGTGGCTGGGGAGAGGGAAGTCTGGGCTTCCCTGCTAAAGCTGCTGCCCCCGCGACCTGACCCCGGATAAACGGTAGAAGATGGATGGATGGATGGATGCATAGATTTTTTTTTCTGATGTTGCTGTCATTGTGTGGTAAGATATGTAAGGCTGGCCAAGTCAAATACAAATGACTTCTGAACGTAGCTAGGGCACAAGCTTGGCTGGTTGGTACCTGGACCTGGATGATTGCTTGTGAAGGACCAAACTCACGTTCCTCAAATGTGTCTGGATTGTAGGTGGTGGTCCCTCTTTTTAAAAAGGGGGACCGGAGGGTGTGTTCCAACTACAGAGGGATCACACTCCTCAGCCTCCCTGGTAAGGTCTATTCAGGGGTGCTGGAGAGGAGGGTCCGTCAGGAAGTCGAGCCTCAGATTGAGGAGGAGCAGTGTGGTTTTCATCCCGGCCATGGAACTGTGGACCAGCTCTACTCCCTCAGCAGGGTCTTCGAGGGTATGTGGGAAATCACCCAACCAGTCTACATGTGCTTTGTGGACTTGGAGAAGGCATTTGACCGTGTTCCTCGGGGAGTTCTGTGGGGGATGCTTCGTGGGTATCGGGTACCGAACCCCTTGATACGGGCTGTTTGGTCCCTATACTACCGATGTCAGAGTTTGGTTCGCATTGCCATCAGTAAGTCAGAATCGTTTCTAGTGAGGGTAGGACTCCGCCAAGGCTGACCTTTGTCTCAGATTCTGTTCATAACCTTTATGGACAGAATTTCTAGGCGCAGCCGAAGCGTTGAGGGGATCCATTTTGGTGGCCTTAGTATTGCATTTTTGCTTTTTGCAGATTATCTGGTACTGTTGGCTCCTTCAAGCAGGGCTCTCCAACTCTCGCTGGAGCGTTTCACAGCTGAGTGTGAAGCGGTTGGAATGAAAATCAGCACCTTCAAATCTGAAACAATGGTCCTCAGTTGGAAAAGGGTGGAGTGCTACCTCCGGGTCGGGGAGGAGATCTTGCCCCAAGTGGAGGAGTTTAAGTATCTTGGGGTCTTGTTCATGAGTGAGAGCAGGAGGGAGCGAGAGATCGACAGGTGGATCAGTGCAGTGTCTGCTGTGATGTGGACTTTGTCGTGGTAAAGAAGGAGCTGAGCCAAAGGACGAAGCTCTCAATTTACCGGTCGATATACGTTCCAACCCTCATCTATGATCACGAGCTATGGGTCGTGACTGAAAGAACGAGTTCCCGGATACGAGCGGGCAAATGAGTTTTCTCCGCAGGGTGTCCGGGCTCTCCCTTAGAGATAGGGTGAGAAGCTCGGTAATCTG